TTCTACTCTCATACATAAAACCAAGAGAATTCAAAACATACATTCACACAAACGCTTATACCTCAATACCATGGCAGCATTTTCCACAATAGCTGAAATTTGGAAACAGCCCAAATGCCCATCAGCTGAAGGGTAGATGAACACATCATGCTACATTCATTCAACATATTACTCAGCTGGGAAAGGTTAGCACCCACCTCTGCTGCTGAGAACTCTTCACAGGGTTTGTAATTTGTACCGTGCATGCACCCACTTCTCCCGATTGACAGAACAGGAAGCAGCCGCATGGAGCATGTTTCTGCATCTTACATGCCCAGTCCGTCAGAATGTCTCCTGTGTGAGGCTTCCAGCCCTGGAGCTGCTGGGGAAATGTTTCCTCCTGGAGAGCTGGTGTGTTCCACCGTATTTCCACTGGTACCTCAGCTGCTAGGAAGTTCAGCGCTCAACTGACCACTAAGTTGCGCAGGGTGGGATTGGATAGATGTAATTTTTCTCCCCTCCTTTCACCATACCTCAAACTTTTAATTTCCAGTTTAACAACCTTATTATATACTTGTCTTTTACACTGTGACATGTTACCTATCCTTTTTGGAAACGAGAGGAAATCTAGCACGGATGCAAGTCACTATTCCTGTACCGTTCTCCCACCAGAGCAGACGTCTGCTGTGTTTGTGACGGTGGTCGGGCTGTGCGCTGCAGGCGTCCGGGCAGCTTCGAGTGGGGTTCCAGACGTCTGCATCAGTTTGCAGTGGAGGAGGCTGTTTATAACTTGATTTAGAGATCCAATCTCAGCTGGCTTGATAGAGTTTTGTTCTATTTAATATCAAGTGCTAAAATAGCAAGCAGCCAAAAATGTATTCAAGGAAATAGAATTTTAGTCATGAAATTGATCTCTTTGGGAAATAGACTTTTATTTTGTTATAATAAGCACCATTGGCTATCAGAATGTATAGACCCATTTGCGTGTCTAAGTCGGAATTGCCCAAGGCCTGCAATACAGATGGGGAGCATCAGAGCCAGCGTTGCTCCCCGCGTCGGCTTCCCCACACGGAGGCCTCTGGGCTGGGAGGGGACTGCTCTTACGGGACTGCTGCAGGGGCTCCTGGCCAATGTATGTATTACTTAGTGAGGCTGGCCTGTGGTTGAGTTGGAAAACCATACTTACGTAGGAAAGAACAAAGTGCCATAGCTGCGCCGATGTCTGGTGGGTTCAAGCACATCTGGGAAGTGCACTCCCAGGGAGTCCTGTTGGTGCTGGCTCCAGGCTCACAGCTGGACTATTGGTGCTTTGTGACCCCTCAGCCTTCCCTCCCAGTGCCTCCCCCATTCCTTCCTCCATCCTCTCTTCTGTGGATTTGGTGAGAGCGCACTGGCCCCCGTGCTAGGTGCTGGAGGTGACCCAGGTTTCAGCTGCCACTCTTTAGTTCTGGGGTGCCTTGTGTCTGACACGCCCCCCAGGCACAAAGGGCATTGTTCCTGAGTGCGCTCCAGCCTTCAAGACAAGGAGGGTGCCTCTCTGTCAGGGTTGAACCTGGCCGTGGCACTGAGACCTCCTTGGACCCCTCCAGTGAGGCAAGGTGTTCACACATGGCTCTTCCCTCTCCCTGGGTGCAGCTGGAGACCCAGCTGCCCGGGGCTTTGGGTTTGGGGTTTGGGTTTGGGTTTTTCTGGCTGCGTTCACTGAGAGCACACACAGGAGTTATTACCAGTCAGGGATGATGACCACTTCCAGATCCTGCCTTTGTTTTCTTTACCCAGTGCCTGATTCCTGTATTCGAAAGCAGGGTTTGCGGTTTTAGTGCTGTTTATATTACTGTTATTGCTGTTAGCAGATTAAGTGTTCAGAGATGATATCACATACCAAATTTGCTGTCTTTTTAAAAGCTGATGGACGGTTCTGGTTGGTGAACAGTAAATTTAGAGATGTGGTTAATAGGAGGAGTCATGTGAAAATGATTACTCATTTGCTTTTTAGAATGAAAACAAGAGTTGACTTTTCATTTACCTTGTAATCATTTGTTCACCTATGCATTAAAATAAATAATTCAATGCTGACTTTATACCAGGGCCAGCTTTACATTCTTATGTAAATATCTCTATTTACTGGTGGGGGCGGGGGAAGGGTTTTCTCTGAGCGAGACAAAAAGGCACTATAACATGAAGTTAGAAAGGGAAGCAGCCTCTGGCCTTTGGCATAAGTAATCAACGTGGAAGAAACAAATCTGTTCTGAGCCAAAACACAACCACCCTCGCTCTGCCGTGGGGCTGCAAGCAGAGACTTGGGAGTAACTCATCATTCTCAGCGTTTTTTGATGGGGTCCCCAACTGTAAGGACTCTGGGTAGATTACAGGGTGCTGGCCTCTGCTCCCAGCCCTCCTGATCTGAGTGGTTTATTAATGTTGGCACAGGTCGACCAGCTGGCTCTCTGGTGTTGCCATTGTCATAGCAACCAGGATGTTTCTGTAACAGTCCAGATTGGGGGCCTGTAGAGTGGGAGAAATGTGGGTCGGACTGCGTTCGTACCAGAAAGAGACAATGCGGCATCTTCCCATTTGCGAGCATCTGCTGTTTAGGGCAAGCTCTTTCTTCTTTTTCATCCTGACAGTCCCCACCTGGAAGAGAAGTGTCTGCTCCCTTTGCTGGTGTTCCGAGGTTCTTTGGAGAATAAACAGGAGCAAAATCCGGATTCTGCATTGTCTGCAATGACCACCTCTCTTAGACTTTTAATAAAGTATTTTTTCTCTTTGTAAGAAACACAGGAACTTGCAGCTAAATCTCTCACTTGTGACAAAAAACACTTTTCAAAGGAAAATACAATAAGCCCTAATTTACATCATAAAGATTACAGCTGAAAAGTCAATAAAGACAGGCTGGTTTTGAGGTTAAAGATTTGTGAACACTGCAGAAATGATTGGTTCCAGACCCAGAACTAGGAGGCCAAGAGGGCCCATGTTGAGCTTGGTGTGTGTGCTGCGGCTGCCCGTTCAGGTGAGCTCAGTGGAAGGAGCGTCACCAGGGAGCCTGTGTCCCTTCTCTGTGTTCCTATCACCTCTCCTCCCTGTCTGGAGAAGCCCATGGAGCCACACCCCACCCTTTCCTGTCTGTGGGTTCATCACTTACTCTGCATGCATATGAATGTGCACACATGACCTTTCACATCTGCCAGAAGCCTTCAGAAAATCTGACTTTTGACATTTAACAACTGATGTGAAGCTTGGCTTGGATTCAAATCCCTCTTACCAGATTGGCCATGTTTTTATTTGCTCAACTTACTGTAAAAATGACACGTTCTGGAAGGAAGTGTTGTAATAAGGTGGTTTAAGGATAATAGTGGCTAAAAGAAGACATTTATTTTTCTTTTCCTTTACTAACTGATAGCCATCGATGATGGCTATCGCTTCCCGCATGAGCTGCAGTGTGTGTTTTGGTCAGGGTCGCGCAAAAGGCGTGGCTGCACTGTGTGGATTGATGCTGAGTGCTCAGCACTGAGCTGGGAGGATGGAGTGTGGAGGACCTCCTTCTCTAGTTTTGTTTGATTCCTTCCTCCCTCCCTCCCCCTCTTCTTTTCTTTTCAGTTTTAACAAGAGTGAGGTGGGTTGGCCCTCAGCGGTATTAACAGGTATTATCAGCAAATGCCTGGGCTATTACCGGCATGGTGTGAGGGGCTCAGACCTGTTCTTTCTTTCTAGCTCTGAGTCTGGTGTCTGTGGACGCCCAGGCCTAGACATCTTTAGAAGCGCAATGATTTGGTGACAGGGAATACTCTTGGAGGAGATAGCGTGTCTGAGGCTTTTCTTCCATGTGTAGTGGACTTCACCTGGGTATCAGCTGTCCCAATTGAAAGTCACCTCTCCTTCATTCCTGCTCACTCTCAGTTCACAAGTAAACAGGGATGTTTAGACAAGCCTTCATGCTTGCTCCGAGCTTCTAGCAGAGGGTGCCAGCCATTGTGGTATTGATAACGATCTCCGGACAGACCCAGGGTCAAATAGGGAGCTGTGACATCCAGGGCATTTTCTGCAGGGCTAGGCAGGTAAGGTGGCTTTCTTGAAAGTTCCTCCCTTTTCTCCAAATGTGCTTCTGTGCTCCTAGGGCTCCTGCATTGTGGAAGGGGCTTGTGGGAGTGAGACACTCAACCTAGAACAGCTCTTTCTTGACTTTTTCCTTACTGGCTAATCATTCTGCATTAAACAGCTGTAGTTCATAGTTTACTGTCATCAGTAAAAAAGAGTTCTCCTTAGTTACTGCCCCAACTTTGACCTCATATTGTCAAGTTAATCTTAGGATACAAAAGGGACCTGGGGGCTGAATCCTTGATGCGGTGTACACGCAGTGGAGCATCATTTAGCCCTGGGAAGGAAAGAGCTTCTGACGGATGCTGTGTAGCATGGATGAACCTTAAGGACATTTCTGTAAGTCAGAGACAGCAGGACACAAACTGTGTGAAGGTTGTAGAGCAGCTAAAGGCAGAGAAACAGAAAATGGGTGGGTGGTGGCCTGGGCGGGGAGAGGAGGAAATGGGGAGCTGTTGTTTAGCAGGTGTAGAGTTTTGTTTTGCAAGATGAAAAAGTTCTAGAGACTGGTTGCCTAACTGTGAATATACTTAACATTCTGTACACTCAATATACTGTATGTACAGTTAAAGATGATTAATTTTAATTTATATATTTCTTGCCATAATTTAAACATTAAATTAAAGGGCCTAATGTGAGTAAAAACAAATAATTCCTAATTCCTAGACTGATGGAGTCCTACATCTGTCCATTTGTTTTAGAGTTTAATGTGTGTTACTCTGCATTTTTAACAGTACAAAGGGTATTTTCATCAGTATTTTGACTTGTAGCAAGAAAACAGTGACCTTACAAAGACCCAGTGAACATACAAAGGTGAAGGCGCATTGCTGTGAAACAAATCCATTGTTTGGAAATGTGTCTGTGCTTAGCAAGGGGATGAAGGAATTCTATGCTGTGTCGGTGATGTATTTACACTTGCTTTTTAGGTGAAGCCAAAAATCTTCCCACCTACCCGGGGCCAAACAAGATGCGAGATTGCTACTGCACCGTGAACCTGGACCAAGAGGAGGTTTTCAGGACCAAAATTGTGGAGAAATCACTCTGGTAGAGTCTGCTCTTGCTTTCTTTGACGCTGATAAGTTTTCTTCTGTATGGAAAAATATCCTGAGCACATATGCCATCTTGCCATCTCCTGTGTTGTTTCATTTGCATGAAGATTACCAGACATCCACATGGGCTCTGGGGTACAGGGCAGAGTTAGCCTGAGTGTCCATCTTGGGTAGAGATACTCTCCGAATGCTCGTGATGCCTGGGACCGAACATCATAAAGGAGCAAAGAGCACATATGTAACTGTGTATTTGTCTCTGAGATAATTTCTTCTTTTTTCTTTAAAAAAATTTTATTTATTTATTTATTTATTTATTTATTTTTGGAGAGGGGGAAGGGAAGGAGAAGAAAAGGAAGAGAAGCATCGGGTGGTTGTCTCTGGTGCACGCTCAACTGGGAGCCAACCCAGGCCACAAACCAGGCACGTGCCGTGTCTGGAAATTGAACTGGTAGCCCTTTGGTTCGCAGGCCAGTGCTCAATCCACTGAACCACCCCAGCCAGGGTGAGATAATTTCTTATTGGAGATGAACTGGAAATTTATGGCGACAAAAAAGTACAAATCAAGGATTTTGAGGCCCTTGGCTGGCTAGCTCAGTTGGTTAGAGCATCATCACCATATATCAAGGTTGCAGGTTTGATTCCTGGTCAGGGCACATGTAAGAATCAGCCAGTGAATGCATAAATAAATTAAACAACAAATTGATGTTTCTTCCTCTCCCCCTTCCTCTCTCTCTTAAATCAATAAATAATAAAATTAGGGAAAAACCACAGGTTTTCAGTGGATAAATATTTGTAAAGCTTTTTTACCCCTCTTTTCTTGAAATTTGTCTAGATAGGCATGCCTAAGATGACCATGGATGTAATTATCCACTGAGGTAGGAGACCTAGAAAACATTTACTGATACAATTTGGGGAAGGCAGGGGTCAGGTAAGAAAGAGCAGCACTTAACAGGTCTTAAGATTGAGATGTTTGCTGTACAGTAAACACACCCTGGTGCTTCTCAACTTTAGCTTGCCTGAGAATCACTTGGAGGGCTGGTTAAAACAGATGTCTGCCCCAGGATGTTTGGGGCGGGGCTGTAATTTGCATATCTAACAAGTTTCAGAGAGATACTGCTACTGTTGGCCCTGGACCACACCCCAGGGCATAGGAAGTGGTGGCATCCGGAGAAAAGTCACAGGAGATGGAAAAAGAGAAACCAGAAATGTGAACAGTGAGGCTGCAGAACCTCTCTTTGCATACGTGGCAGCAGGTGGGGTGGGGGTTAGTGCTTTGCAGTCTGGGGAACTGCACACCAAAGCCGGTAACAGGCCCTGAGCCTGCTGTTTATATGAAGTGGTTAATGGAGTGAAGAATTCCTGTGCAGCCAGGGACTCCACCTTTGGGTTTAGAATTATGGGTTGTGTGGGTCCATCCAAACAGCTATTTTGAGTTTGAGAACATTTTTGGCAGATGAATTATATATATCCTTGCATGTTGCTGCTTCTAAGTGGGAACAAACAGCACGTTCCAATGACTTAATGAATTTAATTTTTAGAAAACTGCTAAGGATCTCCTGCCCCTGAGACGTAGACACGTTGCACTCTCCGTCTGCACCGCTGCCGCCGGTCCTGGCGAGGCTCCTCCGCAGGCCGAGTTCCCACAGCCGCTGTGGCACTTTAATGCACACTCCAGATTCTCTGAGATAATAACTTCTGAAGGAAAATGAAAAGTCTGAGGAGTGTGTCAGGAGTCAAGTCTGGCTTTGCATTGATGATGAGATGGTATTGAGGGGGGGGATGACGTTACTGTAACCTTCAAGGCTTGTTTCTGTTAGCCAAATGTGAGAAAAATCCTTTTTGTGTTTAGTCGATGTTGGAGGCCCATGGTTCATAACCCCGGAGGACTGGAGGATTACTGTCAGTTTCTATGAAGTGGGGCTGTCCCCAGACCCGCTGAGTGAGGATCTCTGGGGAGGGAGGCTGTTTGGGAACTCCTGTTTATTTGTTTCTGGTATTTATTCTTATCTGTATGTTGATTGATTGATTGATTGATTGTTGTTCCCAACCTCTGTTTAGGTGAGGTTGAAAAAATGGGGACCACAGTCTTCAAACTATTTCAGACAAATTTAGAAGTACAAAGCATGGTTTCTGATTCTTGTGGTACTAGAAGATGCATTTGTGAGGCAGGAAAGGGAGGGTAAGAGCTAAATAAAAACAACGATGTGGTAATACTGTCCTTTCTGGGAAACCAGCTGTGTTATAGCCAGAATCAGGTGGTAGCCCCTAACATGCTATGGTAAGTAGCCAGTTAGCTCCAGCGGATGTGCTGAGGTAATGCTCCCAGCCCGTCAGAGCTGCTAACCCCTTCACAGACTATCCACACTTTCCTTACAGAGAGTTTTAATAAACTTAACTATTTTGTGTATTAATTATTCATTAACTTACTGAATATTTATCACATGCTTATCTAATATGCCAAGTAAGGAGAGGGGTGCTGTAAGCAGAAAGTTGATAACAAAAAAAGAGACAAACCTACACAAAATAATTCCATTATTTAAAATATGTGGGTCTCTGTGGCCCTTTAGTATTGAGGCAAAAACTCTATTCCCGCTGCTGGGCTTTGCAAGCTAGTAACCCCAAAGCTCTACTATACAGTGTAAGGGAAAAGGCAAAACCATTTTATAAAAGAATCGAGTAAGGAAAATTGCTGGCACCACTTGGTGCTGAATGTTTGAAACCAAAAACTGTCTTTCTTATGAGTTTATAACTTGAATCCACAAAACATCTGTCTATTCATACACATTAATGTAGTCCTGGATCAGTAGTTTGTAATATCCACCATGCCAATCAAAAGCAAATCCAATCATCTTTTTTAATACCAGGCCCCAAAGAATTCTCCTACATAAAGTTCCTTCTGAGTTCCGGCCAAGATGGAGGCTTAGGTAGAAACCCTTTGCTTCCTCGCACAACCAAAGGAGGATAACAACCAATCTAAAATCAATAAACAACCAAAATCGCCAGAAAATCAAGCAGCATGGAACTCTGACAACCAAGGAATTAAAGAAAAATCAACCAGAACAACCAGACTGGTAAGGCGATGGACCCTGCAGGCGGACTCAGAAAAACCTTGTGAGGTGGCCAAGGGGCGGGGCTGACTGCTGAGCTGGGCAGAGCTGCATGGGAGGGACTGATTTAAGGGGAAAACTGAGACTTGGAGCTGACTTTGGCTAAGGCTGGGGCTGCTGCAGTGGGAGAAAACTTCCAGTCTGACTCAAGAGTCTGCTGGAAAGTGCGCTAGAGACGAGCAGGTGAGCTGCATTGCTCCCTCTCTGGCCCCTCCACCACAGGCAGCTCAGGAAGGAGGGTTGCCCTGCCCGGGTGAATACCTAAGGCCCTGCCCCTTTACAACCTATTAGCTGTGCCAAAACAAAGAAATATGAACCAGGACTTCTGGCCAAGATGGAGGCATAGGTGGAAACACTATGCCTCTTTGCACAACCAAAATTAAGGATAACAAAGATTTAGAAACAAAAACACCACCAGAACAGACAGAAAATTGAACTGTACGAAGTCGGACATCCATTCATCCAGTCCTGTAAGAGGGGCACAGTCGGCGGCTGTCAGAGAGGGGTTGCAGCAGGAAAAAGCAGTGGCTGGCAGACCTGGGTGCGGGGAGGAAACAAGCAGACCCAGTGAGGTGCGCAAGGCCGCTGGCTGACCAGGGTCACACATTTGCATGCGCACACTGATAAACAAGGCACAAATCGGCAGTGAGACAGACTGGGCAACCCAGGGCCCCAGCGTTGGGAAAAATGAAGCCTAAAAGCAGTGATCAACAACACTTGTGGGAGCGGAGATGCCGGGAGAGACTCCCAGACTCACAGGAGAGACCCACAAAGTCCTAGAATGTGTATACAAGTCCACCTACCCAGGAACCAGCACCAGAAGGGCACAATTTGCTTGTGGAAAGTGGTGGATTTGCTTGAAATCTGAGTGGAGCAAGCACCATTGTTTCCTCTCTGACCCCGCCCCCACATATAGCATCACAACCCAGCCACTGTGTGGCCCCGCCCTGGTGCTCACCTAAGGCTCCACCACTCATATGTAACAGGCGTGACCAGACCAACAATTTATGGCTCAAACTGAAAAACAAATCAAAGCCCCAGAGCCAATACATCTAAGTGACCAAGAGATAGCTAACCTATCACATGCACAGTTCAAAACACTGGTGATTGGAATGCTCACAGAACTGGTTGATTTTGGTCACAAATTAGATGAAAAAATGAAGGCTACACTAAGTGAAATGAAGGAAAATGCACAGGGAACCATAGTGATGGAAAGAAAACTGGGACTCAAACCAATGGAGTGGACTAGAAGGAAGAAAGAAACAACCAAACAGAAAAGAATGAAGAAACAAGAATTCAAAAAAATAAGGAGAGGCTTAGGAACCTCCAGAACATCTTTAAACGTTCTAATATCTGAATTATAGGGGTACCAGAAGGGGAAGAGGAAGAGCAATAAGTGGAAAACTTATTTGAACAAATAATAAAGGAGAACTTCCCCAATCTGGCAAAGGAAATAGACTTCCAGGAAGTAATGGCATAATTAATAAAAAATACTTAAAAAGAAAACAGTTCCTAGGAACATGAGCTTGGATGAGCTCAGAGGAGGAAATATACAAAGAACCCAGAAAATAAAGGCATCAGAGGCCTCTGCAAGAGAAACAACAGACAATAGAATCAGACATGTAGAATTTGTAGAACGTCAAGAAAGTTTAATGAATATAGAGTAATAGATAAAATTAAAAACATGAACAGGAAAAGAAACAATGAAGAATTATTGAACCAATTTGAAAAAGAACAAAATAGAATTTCCAGAAGTGAAGAAAAGAATTTCAACGGAAAGCTCAATGGACAAATTAAAATAGCTGATTAGACTTAGCTGAAGGGAATATTGGTAAATTAGAAGGTAAGTTTGAAATATACCCCAGAGACACAAAGAAATGGAGAGTAT